GCTTCCTAGTGCTCGCTCCCGACCCCATGCTAAGCGCGTTCCCTTTTCTTGGAGCTCATTTTCATGACGTGGAAAGCCGGATCCAGGGTTACAGCACATATTAAAAAAAAAAAAAAAAAAAGACAGCGCGAGAGAAGTCCGAGATTCTGCACTGTGATTGAGCCTTCCTTCCTCTCTGCCTTCCTCCCGCCCTTCCTCCCAGTGCCCAATGATGTGCTGCCGGTACCCAGGGACAGCAGCCACCGCGGCGGCAGCAGCGGCAGCAGCAAAGGCAACAGCAGCGGCCGCGGAGCTGGAAGCCTGCTGCAGCCCCTTCTCCTCCCTCCTCTACTGAGTGTGCCAAGAGGCAGTTCTGCATCCTAAAGGAGCCCATTGAAGAGCCCATTGCATTCTCAGCACGTCTCAAGCTTGCTTTTTTTTTTTCCGCTTTTTTTCCCCTTCAGCCCCCCACCCCCACCCCCCCAAACCCCCTTTGCTTCAGCTTCAGCAAGAGGAAGGGAGGGTGAAGGAAGGAGAAAGAATCCTTAAACTCAAGGTTTTGCTTTTTTTTTTCTTTTAAATATTCATTGCTTTAAAAAAAAATCTCCTGCAAAAATAGGTAAGTCAAAGACATCTGGAGCTTGTGCTTCCTAAACCTCAGGGTTGTGAAAAACAAGAAAAAAAAAAACATTTAAGAAAAGAATGGTGAAGACGAAAGAACTTAAATAGATTTTAATATTTTATAAGAGAGACAGGGAAGACTAACTGGTACTGCAATGTAGCCTCATCTGCCTTCTCTTTTTCATTTAATTGTTTCTAAAAATTGAGTATTGCATGCCTGAGGCAGATTTCTCTTTGCTTTCTCACAGTTTTTCTTCTCCTTACAGCTGTGTACATTATACGCAAGTTGAATGCGAAGATAAATTCTTTTCACTCTCCCTATCAATTATATCACTGTGTTTCAAGTTAAAATATTTCCTTGATGTATGTATCTATGTGTGGGGATAAAAATACATGCTTGAAACTCTGATTTTTTTTTATTGATTAAAATCAGTTATTCAATTTTGATTGATATTTCAGTGAAACAGGAAGGGCAATCTGATAAAACTGCATTATTATAATTTATTTATAATTTATTTATGTATACACTTTCATATAGTGATAATATTAGGCAAAGAAGCCATGGATGAAGGCTCTGTATGTTTTTAGAATAGTGCACTGCATATGTTTCTTGTGATTGGAAAAGAATGATGTCTTTTTTTTTTTTTTTTTGAAATGTATTTCATGTGGTCAATCATTTATGAGCAGGTAAGAATTGAGGTTTCCACCCTCTGTGGCCTTTAACTACCCACCTCTTCTCTATCCCATCATCATCCCTTCCAGCTTTTTAGGGTTCCTCAGTTGATCTTGAAGGCACATATACACATTCCAAACTAAGCTCTGCAAATGTTTTAATTCAGACACTCCCAGGCTTAGCAACCTTTAGATGTCACTATCTTTAGCTCTGACAATTGCATGGGTATGTTCTTTAGAAGGGCTAATCACTGCTCAACACTTTAAACAGACAAAGGATAAAGTCTATAGAAGTTGCATATTCAATGGGAGGAGATGCCAACAATTTATGCTTGGGCAAAAGGGGGCGTGGGAAGTATATGTCACTGACCACATACTGTAGTTAAACATGTTTTGATAGTTTCTTAAAAAAAAATCTTAAATTTTCCTGCGATACCATTCATCTTATATATCTCAACATCTGATACTGGACAACCGGCTCATGCTTTATCATTCTCTTTAATAACTTTGGGTTAAGTCATGTTTTTGTAATAAAAACATATAATTAAAGAACATATTTTTCCATCAGAGTTGTAATCTAATTTATAATGGATATTTTTGATGTCAGTGAGTTTTAGCAGGAAAACAAGTTTAATGGGTAAATTATTGGAATTATTGCTAAATCTGCCCATGTCTAAAAGGCCGCACAGTATTCCAGTTCTGTTGTGTTCCATGAGAGGCAATGCAAGCTGCTTTTGTTCATGTGACATGCCGTTTACCAAGTATGGCTTAGTTCAGGAAAATGTCACTGCGTGTTTCAATATATCAAAGTTTCCCAAGCTTAAAATATAGGGCACATTCTAAACGTTAAGCATGTTTCTGGCTCATTTTGATTGTCAGTTCAATAACTGCTAAAGTTTTTATATCGCTTTTAAATAGCCCCACATGTAGGAGTCAATTAAAATAGTGCATATGACTAAAAGCTAAAAATCTGCATCTTTATTTCTGTTGCAGTTTTGTAATCAACTACGAATGATGAAACGTTCCATAGCTGAGATGCTTCACAGAGGGAGGATGCTGTGGATAATTCTTCTAAGCACAATTGCTCTAGGATGGACTACCCCGATTCCCCTGATAGAGGACTCAGAGGAAATAGATGAGCCCTGTTTTGATCCATGCTACTGTGAAGTTAAAGAAAGCCTTTTTCATATACATTGTGACAGTAAAGGATTTACAAATATTAGTCAGATTACTGAGTACTGGTCAAGACCTTTTAAACTATATCTGCAGAGGAATTCGATGAGGAAATTATACACCAACAGTTTTCTTCATCTGAATAATGCTGTGTCCATTAACCTTGGGAACAATGCTTTGCAGGACATTCAAATGGGAGCTTTCAATGGTCTTAAGATTTTAAAGAGGCTGTATCTACACGAGAACAAACTAGATGTCTTCAGAAACGACACCTTCCTTGGCCTGGAAAGTTTGGAGTATCTGCAGGCAGATTACAATGTTATTAAGCGCATTGAGAGTGGGGCCTTTCGGAACCTAAGCAAATTAAGGGTTCTGATTTTAAATGATAATCTCATCCCCATGCTTCCAACCAATTTATTTAAGGCTGTCTCTTTAACCCACCTGGACCTGCGTGGAAACAGGTTAAAAGTTCTTTTTTACCGAGGAATGCTAGATCACATTGGCAGGAGCCTGATGGAGCTCCAGCTAGAAGAAAATCCATGGAACTGTACATGTGAGATTGTACAACTGAAGAGTTGGCTGGAACGCATTCCTTACACTGCCCTGGTGGGAGACATCACCTGTGAGACACCATTCCATTTCCATGGAAAGGACCTTCGAGAAATCAGGAAGACAGAACTCTGTCCTTTGTTGTCTGACTCTGAGGTGGAGGCTAGTTTGGGGATTCCCCACTTGTCATCAAGCAAGGAGAATGCATGGCCAACTAAACCTTCCTCAATGTTGTCCTCTGTCCATTTTACTGCTTCTTCTGTTGAATACAAGTCTTCAAACAAACAGCCTAAGCCCACCAAGCAGCCCCGGACACCAAGACCACCCTCTACATCCCAGGCTTTATACCCTGGTCCAAACCAACCTCCTATTGCTCCTTATCAGACCAGACCACCAATTCCCATTATATGCCCTACTGGGTGTACCTGTAATTTGCATATCAATGACCTTGGCTTGACTGTCAACTGCAAAGAGAGAGGATTTAATAACATTTCTGAACTTCTTCCAAGGCCACTGAATGCCAAGAAACTGTACCTGAGTAGCAATCTGATTCAGAAAATATACCGTTCTGATTTCTGGAATTTTTCTTCTTTGGATCTCCTGCATCTGGGGAACAATCGTATTTCTTATGTCCAGGATGGGGCCTTCATCAACCTGCCCAACCTAAAGAGCCTCTTTCTCAATGGCAACGATATCGAGAAGCTGACACCGGGCATGTTCCGCGGGCTACAAAGTTTGCACTACTTGTACTTTGAGTTCAATGTGATCCGGGAAATCCAGCCTGCAGCCTTTAGCCTCATGCCCAACTTGAAGCTGCTGTTTCTCAACAATAACTTGCTGAGGACCTTGCCAACAGATGCCTTTGCAGGCACATCCCTGGCTCGGCTCAACTTGAGGAAGAACTACTTCCTCTATCTTCCTGTGGCTGGTGTCCTGGAACACTTGAATGCTATTGTCCAGATAGACCTCAATGAGAATCCTTGGGACTGCACTTGTGATCTGGTCCCCTTTAAACAGTGGATTGAAACCATCAGCTCAGTCAGTGTGGTAGGTGATGTGCTTTGTAGAAGCCCCGAAAACCTCACACACCGTGATGTGCGTACTATTGAGCTAGAAGTCCTGTGCCCAGAGATGCTGCATATTGCACCAGATGGAGCATCCCCAGCCCAGCCTGGAGATTCTCACTTTGTTGGGGGACCAACAAGCGAATCACCTTATGAGTTCTCTCCCCCTGGGGGTCCTGTGCCACTTTCCGTGTTGATTCTTAGCCTGCTAGTTCTGTTTTTTTCAGCAGTCTTTGTTGCTGCAGGCCTCTTTGCCTATGTGCTTCGAAGGCGTCGCAAGAAGCTGCCCTTTAGGAGCAAGCGACAAGAAGGTGTGGACCTTACTGGCATCCAGATGCAATGCCACCGGCTGTTTGAGGATGGTGGAGGTGGTGGTGGTGGAAGTGGGAGTGGAGGCCGGCCCACCCTTTCCTCCCCAGAGAAGGCTCCTCCTGTGGGCCATGTGTATGAGTACATCCCCCACCCAGTGACCCAGATGTGCAACAACCCCATCTACAAGCCTCGTGAGGAGGAGGAAGTGGCTGTTTCAGCTGTCCAGGAGACGGGGGGTGCAGAACGTGGAGGTTCTGGGGGAACACAACCTCCAGGAATGGGTGAGGTTCTCCTAGGAAGTGAGCAGTTTGCTGAAACACCCAAGGAGAACCACAGCAACTACCGGACCTTGCTGGAAAAAGAGAAGGAATGGGCCCTAGCTGTTTCTAGCTCCCAGCTCAACACCATAGTGACGGTGAATCACCATCACCCTCACCCTCACCACTCAGCAGCTGGTGGGGTCTCAGGGGTGGTTGGGGGAACTGGGGGAGACTTGTCTGGGTTCCGCCACCATGAGAAGAACGGCGGGGTGGTGCTCTTTCCTCCTGGGGGAGGCTGTGGCGGTGGCAGTATGCTGCTTGACCGTGAGAGGCCACAGCCCGCCCCCTGCACAGTGGGATTTGTGGACTGTCTCTACGGCACAGTGCCCAAATTAAAGGAACTCCACGTCCACCCCCCTGGCATGCAATACCCAGACTTACAGCAGGACGCCAGGCTTAAAGAAACCCTTCTCTTCTCAGCCGGAAAGGGCTTCACAGACCACCAAACCCAAAAAAGCGATTACCTCGAGTTAAGGGCCAAACTTCAAACCAAGCCGGATTACCTCGAAGTCCTGGAGAAGACAACCTACAGGTTCTAACAGAAAGAAGAAAATAAATTAGTGCTTTTTTTTTTCTTTCCACAAAAGAAAAAAAGGAAAATAAAAGAAATATGTCCCTTGCTCCTTTTACACTTGTCCCAATAACTCCATCCTCACAATCTTCCCCACCCTGAAGAGAACCGAAACCGCATGATAACTAGAGAATACAGATGTATGCTCTCCCCTCTCAGATGTGATTTGGAGGAAGGGCCATACTCAGATCATTAATCAATGAAGTGCCTTCGCAGACTTTTGCCAGCAAATGTTATCATTATTTTTTTATACTGAAACTTGAGACTTTGACTGTGCCATGTATAAGGTATATTGGGGATCGTTGTATTGATCCTAATTAAGTAAAATTCAATGTGTCTTTTTATTTTCAGTAACTTTTTTTTTCCCTTTTATTGTAGCTTCATTTGAAAGGGAGGGGGGTTGACATTTGTGGCTTTCTTTCCTCTTCTCATCATGGCACAGATTCTGTACATGTATTAACAATGCAGTTTGCTGCATGCCTGAAAACTGCAAGACGGGGAGGGAGGGGGCGGGTCTTGCTCGAATGTTCTCACTCACTCTCTTGTCTCTCATACCCATATGCAAACCACAAATCCCTGCTTATGGTTAGGTCCCTAAACCTGCATTTGGCGCAGGTACACACACAAACACACACACACACACACACACACACAGTCACACACAGTCACACACAAACCAATCTGCTTAGTTCAGGTTTGATCCATTTCTCTCCTCTCCATAGCTCCACCTGCCCTTCACTTGTAGTGTACAGCTCACAGCATCTCTCCTACCACCCTGGGAAAAGTCACATTCGAAGCTGGATCCTACTGAAGTAAAGGCCTGGTGGTTTAACAGCTGGAGATACACACCTAGGGTTGAGCACCCTCTTTGTGACATTTCATCCTGATGCCAAGATTTTTTGGAGAACATCTGCACTTTCTTATATATATATATATATATACATATATAAATAATATTAAAAAATAAAAAGCAACTGGGTATATATCACTAACAGCTTTGTAGGAAGCACTTTTAATGTTTTCTCTCTCACACACAAAGATTCAAAAGAAATGTGCATATATTTATTCTGTAATTTCAGTGATTATAAATTGTAAAGGTAATGTTTAATCATTGTATAGTGATTATGCGTCTGGTATAGCTTTCCTAATAAAAAGTTTTTGAAAAACATAATACATTATATATAGAAGATACAAAGCTTGAACCTTAAATTTCAGCTATGCCATGCCTTTTGTGCTCCCATTTAAAAAGGATTATTTCTTTTACATGTTATACTGAACGCTAATTTATTAACAAGTTTGATGCACTGTGATGTTGACAAATTTTAAAATCCATCATCCCTATCCCAACCCAGGATACAATTGGTATTTATCAAAATCTGATTTATAGTTCACTTCTTTTTCTTCGACTGTGAATTTCAAACTTATTAACCTGATGAGGCACTGTCTCTTAGACAGGATGCAACTGGGAGAAAATAAAGCAGCTAGATTGTGAAGAAATACAGGATTACTCAGGACAAGTAATCAAGGATCCATGCATCTTAAGATACTAAATGACATAAGGAAAAAGGAAAGTGAAATTGCTATTCTTTATAAAATATGCACTAAAATTACACATACACCTTCATCCACCCATTCCTATTTACACATATACACACAAGTAAATCAAAATCAAAGGCCTTGAAGCTGAGTGGACTGTCAAAATAGTATTATTTGTGAAAGTTGTCACTGTTTTGTTTGACCATTGTTTTTCCCAACCACTTTCAGCAAATGGCCCCAGGATGGCTTGAAGTAAGACAGAAGACGCTGAATGAATTTTCCTTTCTGTATGACATTAAAATGATGTTGAAAAATTAACTTGACAATAGTTCAAGTTATGATCCATTTACATGTGAGTGAAACCAAAGAAAATTGGATTTTTAAGATGCCAGTCTTGCTAAAATGCAACCAGAGCGCTCTGAAGCTGGCATTTATCCCATTAGGCCAGTAGAGGGCAGCAGAGCTTCAAAGATCCACAGATTCTGTAGGCACAGAATTGTGCTGTGAGGTCGATGTTTTCACCTAGTTTCCTCAACCTGCCCTTAGTAAAAATTATCATTATGTGTTGAATGTAATTCGTCATAAGTCACTGATGCCTTACATCATATTTTTTTTTCTCACAGAAATGAGTGATACCAACAGCTTCTAAAGCTGTGTGGAAGAAATAGTAGGAGGGCATTGTATTTTTTTTTTTTTAAACGTCCTACAAATTTCTAGAACTTATCGATATAACTCTTGATTAATTATATATAGCTTCTAATATACAGATGTATACAAAGACAAATCCCAAGTATTTCAATTATAAGTCAAACTTTCAGGACTACCTTGCATTTGACATGTTGTGTCTACAACTTTTGCCCTCTGTTATTGGAAGTACGTTTTGGACTTAGTTTAGAAATGAACAAAAAGCCCTTGAACATAAATGATTATTTATTCATGCACAATATTGAAACAAAATTCTTATACAAGAGAAACAAAATTCTTATTCAATAGAGTTAGGGCCACTATTAAATAGGTCATTTCTTTTTCTTCTTCTTTTTTGTTTTAACTTTCCTATAGGTTATCTTTTTCTAGTTAACTCACCTTGCTTATTTCTTCTTCCTCCTCCTCCTCGTCCTTGTCCTCGTCCTCCTCCTCTTCTTCTTCTTCTCCTTCTCTTTCTTCTTCATGGGAGCCAGTGCTATTCCTTAAAAGTGTTTTAAAACTCAATTTATGGAGTCCCTTTAAATTAGTGTTTCATCATATCTCCATTTCATCCAATCAAATATTTTGAATAGGAGAAAAGCATACATAAGAGTGGAAAGCTAGATGCTTCTGGTATTTACTTAATAAACATGCTCATCTCCATAACAGGCATATTATACAAACCAGGTGAAAGTATAATTCCTAGAGACCCTGGTGCTTTCAACATTTGAAAAATGAGGCTCCATAAACTATATTGAATTATGATATAACTTGCTAATTATAATGTTTATATTTTATTTATCAAATACAGAAAGTGAGCCTGTCTTGTCTTAAATATAGGTAGTAATTTCACCCTTGAATAAAAATACATTTATTTATTTAGTGGAAATAAATTTATATGAGAACGGAATTTTGTATTTGAGAGAATTTTTTTTTTCTTCCATGGACTTTTCTACCCCCTGGATAGGGTCACTTGTTTTAATTTTGTATTAATATCAATTAAGTTGGATTTAAATTATAATACCAGATATGATTCTATAAAGTACTATGGCTATTAATATAGGTACAGATTAGCATCTGCTTTATGCTTCTGCTGCAGTAAAATATTTATTTTTAAGAAAAAAATAGACAACTAATTCACTTTCTAGCAGTGTTCTGCTACTGAAACAGATCCAGATTGGACAGATATTTGCCATTATTCATTGCTATTTTTATTACTAATTCTAGTAATAATATTTGGAAGTAACAAACATATTGTAATGTCCCTTCAACATGTTTAGTGAAAAATAATTGCAAATGAACTATTAGTTTAATTCAGCAATAGCTTTAATATGTTATATATAATTTTGTGGTATTATTTGTGTGGATGCTTTTATATTTTTATTTAGAAAGACATATTATTTCATCTAATTGCAAAATACTTTAAAAATAAGTATGATGAATACCATATTTTTAATAAAAGTTCAGAGAGAGAATCACAAGGAAAAGTTTTAATGACTGAGTTTGAAATTTTATTTTCTTACCTGGGAATTTTAGTTTTAAACTTTGATATCTGAACAAAGCAGTATTTGTATTTTGGATTATGAAAACCCATATTACAATTATGAAGCAGAAGACCTTTTTAGCCATCTAAAAATATCATTTTGATTCATTTAACATAGATCTATTATTTGTATAGCCCTGTCTTTTTGAAATTGTGTGGTCTAAGCTGAAAAATGTAGCACTTTTTGTGAAATGGCGATGACAAAGGGAACATTAATAAAATGCTTCACAAAATGTGAGGCCTATATTTACAATGATAAGTCAAGATACTGTGAGAGGAAATGATAATAAAAGGTCAGGCCATCTTAAATGACTTGAGCTATTTTACCCTGAACTTAGACATTTATAGCTTATACTTAACTCGATATCATCAACTATGAAAATTCAGGTAAACAGAACATAAATATCACTAAATTCACCATGTAAATGTTCTACTGACTCAATTATAGGCCTTTAAAGTAATAGGAGCAATAACACATGTGCAATTGGGCAATCATGTGTATATTCATATATACACATAGCACTATTATATATGTATATACATTGTATATACATGTATATAGTTTATATATGCTGGATTATACTTATATGTAAAATATGCATTTTTCTTACATGTTTAACACTAGTTTTATGCATTTATTTTTCTTGCTTCTGTCTAGCCACCATCCAAGTGAAGCTTGGTGATGTTATAAGCCTCACTTTGGAAATCTTCACATGTAAAAAGTAAAACTGTAATTAATATTTCTGAATTTAAAAGTTCTTTCATCTTCCACTTTGTTTCATTTTGTTATTTAATTTATAGGGGACAAATCTCAGTCAAATTGTGATTAGATTTTAAATCTTCACAGTAAAAGAAACTCATTTCTCTAAGTATGCAACATGTCAAATCAAAAACAAGTGCTTCTTTCTTCATTTTTCTATTTCTAGAATAAACCTTACAGGTGGAAACAATTTTAGTAGCTTTATCAATTAGACAAGACCTTTGTAATCAAAATATATAGAAAAACTGGAATTTGAAGGTAAAATGTAAGAGAGGTAAAGAACCAGTTTAAGACATTCATCATCGTAGTTTACCTCTTTCAACATTAATAATAGTAGAAATGACCACTTTTAGTATGCTCATATGGAATCTAAACTGAAAAGGAAGATGTTTTTCATATCAAGAAAGCGGGCATATGTCAGGATTGTTAGTTGTAAAGACAATGTTTTGGCCTGCTTCTTTAATTCTGAAAACATCTGCTCCTGAGAATAATATACATACTTTTGACAAAATGTTTTATTTCCATTCTATTATACTTATATATGTGGTTTGTTATATGGTTTAAAAAAATTTTAATAGAAAATAATACATATATACTTATAGATATATAGCCACATGGGGACTATAATAAATTTACGGTTTGACCCAACCCTTCTAACATCTTTGAAGAGTTGAAATGTGATAAACATCACTAAAAAAGGCTTTCTTCATTACCTCTCAGTAACAGAAAGGTCCAGTATGTCAAATTTGATTTTTTAAAAATACATTGTTATGAGAAGAATGAAATCACAGTTTCCAGTATATTGTATCAAAGCCTAACAAATTCCATCAAAAAGAATGTGCTAATGACCAACTAAAAACAAAATTGAATGCTTTGTTTCAATTAAATTGTAATGTTCTCTTGACCATGAAAGGAACCACACTACTTGTATTATACTGTACTTTTTGCTAAGACAGCTTTTGCTCTTCTGACATTTTTCACTAAGAACTTTAATTGTTGGAGTTGATTCAAATGAAGAAACAATTATAATGATTTTCAGTAGCTTTGCCACAAGAACAAAATGTCCCTAACCTGGGGGTGACAAAGTCAACTCTGAAAAAGATGTTGAAGCAAAGATGTTGGGAGGGAATGGGAGAAGTTCTCTTCACCCTCCAGGCCTGTCCCCTTCACTGCTCCTGGCAGCCCTGCTTCTACTTCTGCTTCTGACTCCCTGCCAGGGTGTTCTTGTGACTAAGGGTGTGTTCACTGAGCTCAAAGTCAGCGCCAAGGAAAGATCACGGATTGATGAGAATCCTCATGTTCAATGACAAAGTGCCCAGTCCACTAACTTGGTACCTAAGCTGAAAAAAATAATTCAGCATATTTCCCCTCATTGTGAAATTATTTATAAGTCTGATGAAAAAACAATAAGGACCCATAATAAAAATAGAAACACTTCTGGAAATCAAAAAGAATCAGCAAATGTTTTAAAAATAAGGATCTCAGTTTTGCAATCACACAGCTTTGCTTTTCCTCCTCTGAAATGCCTTTTATCTTTGTCATGGCATCTAAAATATCAGTTGAATTAAAACTAAAACATCAATGGAAAATATTCGTATTTTAACCACTTCCTTTCATCAAAACTCGCACACTTTCCACATTTTTTCTCTTATTTAAAGTGTAAACTTTTCAACTATTCTGATGTTATATCCACTTGGAATTTTAAGATTTTTTTCCACAGAATTCTGATGAAATAATTTATTTTAAAAAGCTTTTTTTTTGTCTCTGGTAAATAATTTTATAATAAAACAAGTCTATTGAATACATGAACTAATAACCATAGTCTCTAATGGGGTGTGTGTGGGGGGGAGAGGTTCTTCTGTTCTATCCAAATTTAACATTTAAGGCTAGCAAATAGAGTTGGGATTTTTTTCTTACCTGTGCTCGTTATCATCAGTATTGGATTCCAAATGGAAATTGTTCCTCTATTGCTTGTTGACAGTTCCTTTGCTGTTTTACTTTTCTAGCAGATAATAAAAATCAGGTGAATATAGAAAAATGAGAATTCCAGGTATATGCTTTTGCTCAGTGGAATAACCAGGCCCATAAATCTTTGCCTTTTTCTTCAGAAAAATTTCTTCGAAAAGAAGGACAATGAAAAGATAAGCAGAAAAAAATGAAAGTGTCCTCCCTTTCTGAAGATCATTTGAAAAAATATAATGAAGAAAGTTTGAATTAGATGTTCATATTAACATTTTGGTGTTTTATATTTGGAAGAGTTTAATTTCAACAGTAGGTTCACTGTATTTTTCAATATGATTCTAAATAAACAGCATATTCACTGGATGTGAAATCAACCTTAACAGCAACGAAACCAACTATAATTAAAAGAAAATGTACCAGTAACAACAACAAAAACAACAACAAAAACACTCAATTGGATAAGCAATGTATATTAAAATATTTACTTTAGTTGCTGGTATAAATGTGTAAAATTAACTACAATCATGAAGTGTTCACACTTTCAAGTTAGTTTTTTATATACAAAAAAGAACTCCTTATTTATTTTTTGAATCATTTTAACATTACTTTGTCATGAGCCATATATATATGCCAGAATTCATTTAAGGGAGACAACTCAATTATTAATATTTATTAGGAAAAAGTATTTATTTAAAAGGACTATAATTTATCATATAGTATATTCTAGAGTTGTGATTATTCCAGAGCCAAATATACAGAGGTTAAAAATATTTTTATCAGTTGTAATATACTAATTTGTGTTCATGATTAGAATTTAAATAGTATAAATAATATTAATTTAGATCATATTAATTTTATCCAATATCAATTAAAATTAAACTTTACTTTGGGTCATATTACAGTTAATATCTCTTGGTCAATGCATAAATGTGAATAACTGAACATTAGTCAGATGAATTCTGGATATATATATATATATAATATACTTTATACATGTATTTATTTACTAATATGTTTTTATTAGTGAGTTTGAATAATACATCATTAATGCCTTATTGCATAGGTAAAAATTTTAAAAGCTTTAAATTTAGGGTTGAAATGTTATAAAATGTAGTGTGGTATGCCGAACAGTATATGAAGTACTGCTGCTAATGGGGTATTTGTTAAATGATCAAGGTTCGAATTTAACACTTAATCACCTCTCATGTTAATTGGGAATACAGTTCTGAGATTTTCCATTGATTATTCCTAGGTCATTAAAAATTGTAAATTAGTATATATAAAAATCATTTTATCCTAACTTAGAAAAAGAAGAGTGGAGGCCTTGATTCTGGGAAAATTTTCTGCGATCCATACTCTGCCCAACCTAAGGGCAACATGCACAGCTTCATCCTTATTTCTACTGAAAGGAGAATCACAAAACAGTGGAAAGAAAGTCTGCAAACAGAAAATGAAGAGAGGGAAAATAATATTTAATTAGTTGTTGAAAAGCCACTGAGATAATACTGATGTGCCCATTCATAAATTGCTGCTTTTGAGAACTATGGTTCTTAGTAAGCATCTGTGGCAGCAACTAAGTAGTTTATCTTTCAGGACACACAGTTTCTTCATGTTCATGCTTTTAAAAATTGCTGTAGTTGTTATTTTGTTTTCTGGAAATATACATCTCTGATGAGAATCAAAATTCAGTTTCAAATTCCCTTCAAACAATACAACTTTTTTGATACAGAAACTAAAGTCTAAATATTCTGTCCAGTATTAATGTAAGTTGGCATCTTTATCCTAAGTGTATTTTTATTCTCTTGCTTATCAGTTTTGCAATTATACTGTAAATACTTAAGAGCACATATTGTAGCTCAGTGTCTTGGGCTATATGCACAGCTATGGACAGACAATACATTTCTGATCAAACTTCTTAGTTTCATGGATCTTACAATAGATATATTATTACCTTTCTTCCCATTACTTCTAACACAGAGCCTTGGTAACTACAGGCACTAGATAAACTCTTGTGGAATAAATGAAATAAATAAATGAACAGAGGTTTAAAACGCACATGGCCTAAAGGTTCTTAAAATAGTTGACCATCCTTTGGTATTTAAGTCAGATCGGTGATTAAAAGGAATGAAATCTGATTTGCAAGAGATGTGGTAAGAAGTACGACAGTATGGGAAATGTAGTAACTGCTTTTACTTTTCTTTAATTTCCAATATTAATAATATATATATACTGACCTAAATTACGTAAAATGGAGAAAATTGTATACTATTAGGATGTCTCTGGGGGAGAATCCAGGTAAAAAAGAAAAAGAAAAATGAAAGAAAAAGAGGAGCTATAAAATTCATTACCAAACAAAGCTAGAAAGGGACAGAGCCAGCCAAGGCAGATGTGGTTCAAGTGACGATTTTTTTCCATTGCAGAAATGTTTACAAATAAGAGCAATAATTTAGTAGGGTCTATTGATGTCTGCTTTGTTATAATTGCTTAACAGATTTACCACTTCACTGAAAATCCTTCTAGAATGCTAATGCAGCCAACAGTATTAAAACAAAAAGGGGCGTTTATATCAGCTTCCTTTAGAGAGATGAGCAATTTAAGTATATTTTTATCCTATTATATATCATCCATAATGTATAAGAATTCACACTTGTAATGATAAGGCATGACTAACTCTTTTTTTTAAAAAAAAAGTTTTTAACCTTTATTTTATTTATTTTTATGTGGTGCTGAGCATTGAACCCAGTGTCTTGCACATGCTAGGCGAGCACTCTACCACTGAGCCACTACCCCAGCCCATGACTAACTCTGTATTCCAATTTCTGACCCTATTGTAGGCAAAGGTGAAGTACAAATGGTTATACAGAATTACATAAATGATTATATGCATCGATATATGAAATATATTTCTCATTTGAAAGATCCAAACTTTAACACACATTTAATCACATTTTCACTTAAGTAATGTGAGACCTTAAAAAGAGGAGAAAACTTATCTGTGTTCCTATTTAAGTTTCAATCTTGAAATGCTATTATGATCATATTTTTTTTCTATTTTTTAATGAATATGATAAACCAGAATTTAACTAATGGCAAATTTTGCCCAAAAAGTATTTAAAGAAGATATGAGAACAAAGACATACTTTTAAAAACATAAACTTCAGATATTTTCAGTAGACTTCTATATGAAACTATAGAGTGCAATTTTCATTTCTGGAAGCTTGGAACTGTAGTCCTACACTTTAGTTGTCTGAGATGTTCAACTTTGCATTAAAATTGTTGTTGGCATTTTACATTGTCCTTGACATATACATGTGCTTAAGTCCAAATCCTATTAGGAAAAATGATCCTACACTATATATTTATATCTTTAAATACATTCATAATATAATTTGATTATTTTAGAATTCGTGTAAAATGGATTGCAAAATTCCAAACTATTGTCAAAGCAAATAAATGGTATGTAGTCCAATTAAAGAAAAATAAAATAAGGTGTACCTTGCTAATCAATAGAATCCAAGATTCTATTGAAAAAAGCTAAGTCTAGGGATGTATAGGTAATAAATTATTCATATACAAAGTGGGGTTATATAAAATTAAAATCTAAACATATAGTCTTTGTAACAATTTAATATATTGGGATTTTAAATTAAAATATTTATTCATGAAGATAATGTGTTACAATATCCAACATTTTTTTTTTACTATTTCCACTAATAAAAACAATAAGACAAAGTGTAAAAAGATTAATATATAACTTACAAAGGGTAAGAACATAAGACATGAAGTAAGTTTCATATCGTAATATACTGTAAAAGTGAGTAAACATATCAACTTAAATTTTTCTAAATAATCTTTTTATAAAACATGGTATTATATAGAGCGCAGAAATGATGATGATTAATAGGTTCTAGGAAAAGTTTTTCCATGCCTTAAAAATGCTCACAAACAGT